ATATATTTTTTATATATTTATTTTTTATATTTATTTTTATATATAAAATATATATTATATATATATTATATATAAAATATATATATTATAATATATATTATTATATATTATAAATAAAAATATTATTTATTGTAATAAAATCAGACAAATTTGTAATAATTTGTCTGATTTGTAATAATTTGTCTGATTTCCAGACAAAAGGATGTGAACATCCTCGGTTCGGCACCGAAAGCCTTGGCCCTCCTGAAGTCACTCATCACAAATTCCAGACATAACCTGCTGGAATTTGTCAGTGAGAATGCAGGTTGCAGCAAGGGCCAAGCTAGTCAACGCGGATGCCAAGTTCACTGTCGTTCATTGTTTCTGCATTCCAGGCACTCTGCTAAGCACTTTACGTGCATTTTCTCATGTAATCCCCAAGGACCTACTCGATGAATCTGGGAAAGGAAATTCAGACTGGGAGGCTCAGCAGTTTCTGGGCTCTTACTTTTCCAGGGAGAGTTCTCAAGTTGTAAGATTACCATTTGGGGGCTTGCCGCGGAACATTCTGGATTGTTTCCACTTTTCCAGTGAAAACGATGCTGCAGTGAAGACGCGCAGACGTGGTCTTGCTCGCTCCGCTGCTTTGAATCATACTGTTGAGTCGTATTTCTGGGGTTCCATACAGGCACTCCCGACTCAGACTAGTGACAGAGCGGCCACCAAGCTCCAGCAAGACCCAGATGGAGAATTCCGCGCGGCGGGGCGGTGCCTCCTCCCTGGAGGCGTGTCTGTAGCTTTATTAAAATAATTTTTGTTTTGCAGGAGAGCTGCAAAGATAGTGCACCGTTTCCATATGCCCTTCACCCAGATGCCTCTAATAGGATCTTACATAACCATGGACATTTATCAAAACTAAGAGGTTAACGTTGATAATGGTGCTGTTCACTAAGCAGACTACAATCCTGATCTATATCCAGATTTCCCATCTCCCACTAATAACACTTTTTCTGTTCCAGGAGCACTGACTTTGGCATCCAGGATGCTGCTCCTTTATTACTTGGAATTCCTCTGTAAGGAAGTCTTGTCCTTTCGTCAGTCATCTGTTTATGGCAGGGCGGATGGTTGGCTCTTGTGTCCTTTGGCATGCCCTTTTTTTTTTTTTTTTTTAAGTACTTTCTTACATTCTTATATACACAATGCTCCAGGCTCATCTTTACTCTCTCTATACCAGTTCTAGAGTCAGACATTTCACCAAGGATCATTGGTTCCATTTACTGGTGAATACTATTAGAAATCGAGATCTGGGTGCTGGGTGTGCTCGTTGCTCCCGGACTTGTCACTGCAGGCCCTCTCAGTGGACAGAGCTAGGGGACCTGGGTGTCCACCAGCCCATGTGTGTACAAGTACTACGTCCAGATATGTTCACATAAACAGGAATTCTTCCCGCTGTCTCTGACACCAATCCAACACCACAGGGTTCATTCTAACGTGCACCTCTTATTTTTAACTGCTTTTTCTAACACAAACCTGGTTCTCATGACTGTAGTTTCAGAATTGCTGCACCACATCCCTGTGAAATTTAGCGATGTGCGTAGTTCTTTTTGTCTTCAGTCTTACAGAATCCAGTCAGAACTCCCATTTTTCAAAGTTATTGTGGGTCAGCCCCTTTCTTATCCATCCCTTTCAGTAAATTTGTCATATATTTATAATACTTAGATTCATTTATCATTCTTCGTTCCAAACTAGAATTCCTCCAAAATCCTGGTTGATTTCATTTTTATTTATTTACTTATTTTGAGATGGATGGGGCTAATATTTTCTTTTTTTCTTTAGGCTGTGTGGGCTCTTCGTTCCTGCAGACGCACGGGCTTCTCTAGTTGCGGCCCAAAGGCTCTAGAGCGCGTGGGCTCAGTAGTTGTGGCATGCGGGCTTTGCTGCAGTACGTGGGATCTTAGTTCCCCGACCAGGGATCGAACCCGGGCCCCCTGCATTGGGAGTGCAGTCTTAACCACTGGACCACCAGGAAAGTCCCCCTGGTTGATTTGGTTTTAATGTGCACACAAGGTCACTCTCCACCGTGTACAGTCCTGTGGGTTTTGACAAGTGCATACACGGATGCACCACCACAGTGCCATAGAAAACAGCTTCCAGCTAAAAATCCCTTTGTGTAACTCTTAAAGTCAACGCCTTTCCCCACCAGCAGTGAATGCCAGGTTTCTGTTGCTGTGCCTCTTCATCAGTACTTGGTACGATCAACTTTCTTTAATGTAAGGCACTCTAACAGGTGTGTAGTGATAGGTCATCACGGTTTTAATTTACTCTACAAATAATATGGAGCATCTTTTCATAATATAATATTATTTCTAACACTATGAATAGAGTTGTGAAAATATTCACGTAATTTGCCTATTTTTTTAACTTGGGCTATTTTTAAAATAAGGGTTTGTTATTCTGGATACAAGTTCTTTAATGAGATATGTGATTTGCAATATTTTCTCCCAGTTTTATCTTTTCATTCTCTTAATTGTATCTTTCACAGAGCAGAAATTTTTAATACTGATAAAGTCCAACTTAGCTTTTTTTTTTCCTCTTATGGATTGTGCTTTTGAGGTCATCATCTAAAAATTCACTTCCAGGGCTTCCCTGGTGGCACAGTGGTTAAGAATCCACCTGCCAATGCAGGGGACACGGGTTCAATCCCTAGTCCAGGAAGATCACAGATGCCGCGGGGCAACTAAGCCCATGCGCCACAACTACTGAGCCTGTGCTCTAGAGCCCGCGAGCCACAACTGCTGAAGTCTGTGTGCCTACAGCCCGTGCTCTGCAACAAGAGAAGCCACTGCAATGAAAAGCCCACGCACCACAAAGGAGATCCAATGCAGCCAAAAATAAAATAAATAAAACAAATTTTTTTAAAAGTTAAGACGTTATAAAAATTCACTTCCAAACCCCAAATCATGCAGAATTTCTCCATATTTTCTTCTGGAAGTTATATAGTTTTATATTTTACATTTAAGTCTATGATCCATTTCGAGGTTTTTTTTTTGTTTTTTGTTTTTTTTAACAAGGTGCAGTTTTATGTCAAGGCTCTTTTTGTTGTGCATGGACATCCAATTTTTCCAGCACCATTTGCTGAAAAGATTATCCTTTACGGAATCGCCTTTTCACCTTGTCCAAACTCAGTTGACTCTAATTGTGTGGGTATATTTCTGGGCTCTGATCTGTTCTACTGAACTATGTGTCTATCCTTCTGCCAATACCATACTATCTTAATCACTGTAGCTTTACAATAAGCGTTAGAATCATATAATATGAATCTTCCAATTTTGTTCTTTTCAGAATTGTTTTCTGAACTTTCTTTTCAGAATTGGCTATCTTAGGTCCTTTGACTTTCCATACAAATTTTAGAATCAGCTTGGTAGAATCTACCAAAAATCTTGAGATTTTGATTGGGGTTGTTTTGAACCCATAGAACAAACTGGGGAGAACTTAACAGTAAATTAACAACACTGAGTCTTCTAATCCATGAACACTGTACCTCTCCCCAATTAAGTTGATCTCTGATTTCAAGTGTTTTGTAGTTCTCAGGATATAGGTCCTGCACATACTGTTAGATTTATATCTAAGTATTCCTTTTATTTTTAGTTTTTTTAATGCTATTGTAAATGGCACATTTTAAATTTTATTTTAGATTCCAGCTGTTCATTGCTGGTATACACAAATATGATTTTCTTTTGTATATTGACCTTGTTTCCTGCCACCTTTCTAAGATTCACTTATTAATTCTAGGTGCTCTTTTTGTCGATTCTTTGGGATTTTCTACAGAGATAATCATATTGTCCATGAATAGAGCCAGTTTTATTTGTTCCTTCCCATTTGTGTGCTTTATTTCTTTTGAGGTAGCTAGGAATCCAGTACCATGTTGAATAGGAGAAGTGAGGATATCCTTCCCTTGTTACTGATTTGAGGGAAAAAGCATTCATTGTCTTATCATTAACTATATTAGCTGTAGGGTTTTTTGTAGATAGCTTTTATTATTTTACCCGTATATTTTAAGTTGAACCTTCTTCCATTCCTCAGTTTTTTCTGTCTGTATTAAAATGCTAACTCCCAGGACAATGGCAAATCTTATTTTTTTCAGTGTTTATCCATATCTCTATCAATAATAGTATTTGCCTACTACCCATCCTCCAACAACAAAAAAGGTACATGTTTTCATAAGCTTTAATTTTGATTTTTTCTTAAAATATGTGTTTTTTACTCAATTAAGCATATTTCATACCATTTTATTTCAAGTCTGTCTTTTGAAAAATGGAATCTTGTTACTTGACCATTTAAATTAAGAGTTGTATATATGGAACAAGCATTGGTGTTTGCCATCATTCAAACTACTGTTGTCACATAGAGCATTTTTGAATGTCCAGAAAAAATTATTTCAACCTTTCTGAAATGTTCAGGAACAGCCTAGGACTTTGCGGCTGTTTTCGGAGGCTGGAACTCTCCTGCTTCAAATTTTTCTTTGAATTTTAAGTAGTCTCTTCTTTTATCAAAATATTTTATCTGTTGAGAAAAAAGGGTCTGAGATAAGGGCAAGCTATGCAGCTTAAACAAAAGCACAGACTTAAATGTAACTAATTATTCAATATAAATCATGTAAGCGGCCTAAGTAATTTATATTTTAGAACCATTTTGAATCAGTGCATCTTAAGTATAAGAGTCTCTAAAGAGACTATAGACCGGTGAGTCCTAACCCTTTTTGGGTTACTGACCCTGTTGAGAATTTGAGTGCCCTGTGCACCTTCTCAAGAAGTATATGTGCTTACACATGTGAAATGTACTATGCAAGTGCACAGTCCATAGGACTCTCAGGTCATAAGACTTCATGATTTAGAACTCCCGCAGCTCGGGGTCTCTTCGCTCCGCCGTCACAGAACTCCCCGGAGGCCAAGGGGAGGGCGGCCTCACTGAGGCTGCCGGTTCTGGAGGGGCCCCGGCGGCCAAAGCCGCGACACTCGTGTGGACGGCGGGCCAGAGATTTATCCTGTAATAAAATACCGTCTATCGAAAGACGTACATGTGAACCACTACCTTTTTTGCAGTTTATAAATCTTGGTTGCAATTTACTCACAGAACTGAGCTTTGGAACTTCCAGGCCCAGCATGGAATGCAGTTTTTCCACAAGTAATACACCAGAAATGCATCTACACGTGGAACAACTCCTACAGAACACCTACTGAACGCTGGCAGAAGACCTCAGACCTCCCAAAAGACAACAAATCATCACAAATTGAGGAGGTGGACTTTGAGAGCAAGATTTATGATATTTTCCCCTTTTCCTCCTTTTGTGAGTGTGTATGTGTATGCTTCTGTGTGAGAGTTTGTCTGTATAGCTTTGCTTCCACCATTTCTCCTAGGGATCTATACATCCTTTTTTTAAAATTTTTTTTCTCTTAATTATTTTTTTACTTTAATAACTTTATTATATTTTATCTTACTTTATGTTATTTTATTTTATCTTCATTCTTTCTTCTTTTCCTTCCTTCCCTCCTTCCTTCCTCCCTCCCTCCCTCCTTTCTTTCTTTCTTTCTGTCTTTCTGTCTTTCTCTCTCTCTCTCTTTCTACTTCTACCAATTTTTTCTTTCTACTTTTTCTCCCTTTTATTCTGAGCCCTGTGGATGAAAGGCTCTTGGTGCTACAGCCACGAGTCAGTGCTGTGCCTCTGAGGTGAGAGAGCCAACTTCAGGACACTGGTCCACAAGGGACCTCCCAGCTCCACATAATATCAAACGGCGAAAATCTCCCAGCGATCTCCATCTCAACACCAGGACCCAGATTCACCCAACAACAAGCAAGCTACAGTGCTGGACACGCTATGCCAAACTAGCAAGACAGGAACACAACCCCACCCATTAGCAGAGAGGCTGCCTAAAATCATAAGTCCACAGACACTCCAAAACACACTGCCAGACGTGGACCTGCCCACCAGAAAGACAAGATCCAGCCTCATTCACCAGAACACAGGCACTAGTCTCCTCCACCAAGAAACCTACACAACCCACTGAACCAACCTTAGCCACTGGGGACAGACACCAAAAACAACGGTAACTACGAACCTGCAGCCTGCAAAAAGAAGACCCCAAAAACAGTAAGTTAAGCAAAATGAGAAGACAGAAAAACACACAGCAGATGAAGGAGCAAGATAAAAACCCACCAGACCTAACAAATGAAGAGAAAGTAGGCAGTTTACCTGAAAAAGAAATAAGAATAATGATAGTAAAGATGATCCAAATTCTTGAAAATAGAAGAGACAAAATGCAAGAAACATTTAACAAGGACCTAGAAGAACTAAAGATGAAAGAAACAATGATGAACACAATAAATAAATGAAAAATACTCTGGATGGGATCAATAGCAGAATAATGGAGGCAAAAGAAGGGATAAGTGACCTGGAAGATAAAATAGTGGAAATAACTACTGCAGAGCAGAATAAACAAAAAAGAATGAAAAGAACTGAGGACAGTCTCAGAGACCTCTGGGACAACAGTAAACGCACCAACACTTCGAATTATACGGGTTTCAGAAGAAGAAGAGAAAAGAAAGGGACTGAGAAAATATTTGAAGAGATTACAGTTGAAAACTTCCCTAATATGGGAAAGGAAATAGTTAATCAGGTCCAGGAAGCACAGAGAGTCCCATACAGGATAAATCAAAGGAGATATACGCCAAGACACATATTAATGAAACTGTCAAAAATTAAATACAAAGAAAACATATTAAAAGCAGCAAGGAAAAAAAAAATAACACACCAGAGAATCCCCATAAGATTAACAGCTGATCTTTCGGCAGAAACTCTGCAAGCCAGAAGGGACTGGCAGGACATATTTAAAGTGATGAA